ATATTGACTCGCTGCATTTACCGCGTCTTTGAGCTGAAGGATGGCTACGACGGTGATCTCATCACCCACGAGATTCCCTTCATCGTTCTGGAAGGTATCATCATCGTGCTAGCCTCAATCGCGCTTATGTGGGGACATCCTGGTTTGGCAAGCAAGGCTCTTCTTGGTCGTAGGTGGATGGACATGGTGCGTGGATGACGAGGGGCGGGCGGGGTTCTGCGCCAGGAGCGTGCCTGTGGCCGCATTCCGGATTAAAGAGCTCGACCCGTATTCAAGTTCTGCTCAGTTGCGCCAACATAGAGCCTCTGCACCGTCTTGCCACTCTACCTTGGAATACTGATTTCCTTGTTTTCAACTCGTCGGACTGTGCGCACAATGGCATCCGATCGGCTTTCGGGCATCAGAATGGCAGCAGGCAGGCTCCAATGTGACGCGATGATGCACTACAGACCCGGTGGCCGAAAGAGCGAAGCTAGTACAAATATAACCTTGCCTCGTGTCCGGATGGTAGGTAGGGCATCTGTAGTCAAGCGCTGGGAGGGTTCAAATAGATGGAAGCCTAGGCCTGGATAGATGCCCGTGGTGGGGTAAAGGATGGAGAGGAGATCATGGACCCCATTCACCTATCAATGCCAGCGCCGAATCAACATGTGGATATGAACGTAAATCACCGTAGGGTGTTGTAGAAATTTGCGCACTTAACGGTTGTATACAACCGAACAAGAGTAAGCAGTGAGAAGAGTACAATACGTTGGAAAAGTGGACACAGTCATCTCTATACTTGGTTCGGGCGGCGAAGGCAGTCGTCCGCCAACGCTGAGAATGAATCACAGGCTGCTGCCCGACTGTGGAGTGACCGTGTCTCGGCGTCCGGAGGAACATAATAAATTATCTTAGACGTACCGTATAAAGCACCTCCTCTCCACCAAAATTGTGAATACCTACTAGGAGCATGGCTTTCTACGGCTAGTTATATGGAGCGGTCCTCTGGGGATATTTGAGGGGTGGCAGATTCCTCGTGAGCGGATATGTTACAAGATGGCTCCTAAGCATAGGGTAGTTAATTCTGCCTTTCCGGTGACTAAGGTCATGAGCTGCGAAGGCCATAAAAACACGGCAATAATCAAGCTGCGATCCATCGTTCCACGTAAGTCCGCGCGTAGGCACTCTGCTACAGGCCCGGTTATTGCACACCTATGATCTATGGGCATATATACCTGGGGGTGCATGCTCCCCTATAGCCTTAGTGATGTTGAGCGTAAGGGGCTCCTGCTTGACTGGGATGTTGTCAAGTGTCATGAACTCACACCCCTCGGCAAGTTTTCTTTGTGTCCATCCGACGCACCGTCCGTCTAGGATAGGCAGATAACGCAACCCACCACAGCTCAGGTTTGGTCCCGAGCGAGAGTTACACAGACTCCAAATGCGCATAGACATGGACACGTGATCTGGAGGGTACGCACGCACGATCGAGACGGGCTATTAAGAGGGCTGCATGCTACAGTGAGCCTAACTACCAGACGACACGGAAGTCCGCCACTGCGGACCACGCTGTGGCGGTATAGAAAATCCTCCACATCCCTCTCACGGCTGTTTTAAGCCTACGCATTGAAAGTCGAGGGAGTTGTCACTTTTGGCCGGTCCAAACTGCTTGTATGGGTGGACACGGCGCCTACGTCGATGAAAGACCAGGAAAACCACGGCACCACATGTAATTGCCAGAATGGCCGCCCCGCCAACGATCCCTGCTGTGAATGCCTGCTGCCTGGGGGTTGGATTATTGCCACCGCTCTCCAGTGTATTCTCGTTTGGCTCGCGACTGGTGGTTGGAAGCCCATTACTTCCGAACTTGCTCACTCCGTGGCCTATGGTAGCATTCGGCGCGTCAGAGCTCTTCTGCGTAGCGGTATTCGACGCTACTTCATCGGTGGCCACGAGCGATGATGTACTGACTGTTGCGACAAACACACTGCTCGTATCTGGGACTATGACAGCCGTGACATCGGACACCTCAGGCGCCGGCACTGTCAAGGGAAACGTTGGGGTTTTTTCTTCCATTGGCTGGTGGACCGTAAACCCTTCTGGCACACTATGTGCAGAGTCCATGACGCTCTCCACGCTCTGCTTGGTGCTGGCGGCCGCCTCGACTAGAGGGCGCTGCAGTGGCGATAACGTGGGTTGTGCTGACAACGTCAGGGACACTCCCGTGACCTTATCTTCAGCAGGAGTCACGGTAGTCCCTCCCATCACGCTCGCCATCGTCGCTTTGTCTGCTGGCGCCGTGGGGGACATATTTGATTCTACGTGCGGCACAGTAACCAGATCAGACTCGGGCGGCAGGATAGAGGAGGGCATAATGACTCCAGTATCGTGGGATAGACCTATGTCCTGAGCCTTACCAATGTGGCTTGTTGCATATGCTTCGGATGGAGGGAGATGCTGGTTTGTCATTGTCATGCGAGATATGCTGGTTTTTTCCCGGCTAGGAGACGCGACGGACTTATCAGCTTGCGAGGTAGTGGACTGTCTCACTACACTGGTCTCCGTGGATTCCCAAGCCGTCGTCCAAGTGGTCTGGGTAGAGCGGTGCGATTCTGGGAAAACAGTAGCTTGGGCTCGGTCAGTGGACACTGAAGAGCGTGACGGGGCGACATCATCCGTTACGCCAGTCGACGGATCGGCTGACAATGTGAGTGCGGCATTGGTAGTGGTGCTGTTCACGTAACGCGCGTCATGGAGTCGAGGATACGAGGCATGTGTCGAATGGAACGGCACGGCCGAACCATTGCCGCGTTGTGGTATGGTTGGAAGCAGAGCTGCAAGAGCCTGTGCGACGCATGTTACGGAGAACAGATATCTCATCGCTTGGTACTGTCGATTGGCTGAGTCCCTGCGCACTGAAGAGAGACAGGCTCAAGAACAAATCGGCCGTGAGACGACGATAGCCACGTCAATACGAGTAACAAGAGAGTGAGGAGTAGAAAAAGAGAACGTCTGCTACCACTAATGTAAATCAGGCGGCTGCTCATGGATGGTTGATCTTGACCACCAAGAGCAACCTGGTTAACGCAACACTCGAGAGAGCCAGAACAGACAAAAGAGTTTCAACAGACTATATAGCCAATGGTTTGCCGCTAGAACTTAGTGCCTTTCGCGGCAGAACCGGCCGGCCTGCTGCGCTGCACAATACGCGTAGGGTTCGAGACGATCAAGGGATGCATTTAAACTCAGCCTCTTGCTCACTCATCTTGACGCCGCGCTGTGACGTACATCCATCGGGGGTAGAATACCAGCCGCTAGAGCACTCGCAAACGCAGAGAAATCAGCGTCCTCCTCCCTTTGAGTAGGATAGATTGCGGCCACCGACTGACCCAGGCAGCGCCCCACGTAGCCAATATTTGCCTTCATGGCAGGCGGGTTCAGGTTCCAAGAAAAGTAATGGCCATAGGATCTAGCAAGGTGTACGACAAATGTCGAATGGACTGCCAGACGTGTGGCAAGTGAAACCGAACGGGGAGCTCGCCCACGAACCACAGGAGAAAGCCGAGCTGCTCCGCCATTCCTTCTTCCCGCCCCCGACGAGAGCAGACCTCTCCGACATCATAGGATATCAATACCCCCCGGCAATTGAATGCCCCGATATCACGGAACCGGAGATAGAGAAAGCGATACGAGGAGCCTCTCCCAACAAAACACCAGGAGACGACGGAATCACGAATAGCATTCTTCAAAAGGTCCTGGATATTATCCTACCACACATCCAGAGGCTTTTTCATACATGCCTTCGACTCGGGTACTGCCCAGCACATTTTCGAGATATCATCACGGTCGTTCTTCGAAAACCAGGCAAAGACGACTATACTCAACGAAAGGCATACAGGCCAATTGCCCTCCTCAACACGCTCGGGAAGGCGCTGGAAGCCGTCATGGCGAACCGCTTGGCCTACCTAGCGGACACCCATGGGCTTCTTCCCAGCCGTCATACTGGAGGTCGGAAGCTCGCGTCCACAGAACACGCCATGCACTTTCTTCTCCAACGCATACATCGAGCATGGTCTGAAGGCAAGGTAGCCTCGTTACTGCTACTCGACGTGTCCGGAGCATACGACAACGTATCTAAGGAAAGGTTGTTGCACAACTTGAGGAAACGCCGCGTCAGTATGGGGATTGTGAACTGGGTCGCCTCATTTCTCACCAGTCGATCGACCAGCCTCAAGCTCCAGGAATACACAGACCCTTCGACAGCGATCCAAACCGGCATCCCGCAAGGCTCACCTATCTCGCCAATCCTATATCTCTTCTACAACGCCGACCTCATTGAGGCCTTCAAGACAAGCGAGACGGAAGCAGTCGGGTATATTGATGATGTGTCAATTCTAGCGATCGGCCCGACGGCACCACGCAACTGCAAGACCCTCAAGGCCATCCACCGGAAGGCTGAAGAATGGGCATTGAAGCATGGATCGCAGTTTGCCCCCGCAAAGTATGAACTTGTGCATTTCTCCAGAGATCCTAGTTACAATACCACACACGCCCTCCGCCTCCCACATGCCACGATTACAGCGTCACAGTACTGCCGCTACCTTGGACTCCAGCTTGACACCAAACTCCGGTGGGGTCACCACCGCGAGAAGATGGAAGCAGCAGCTACGAAGAGGCTGTCCGCTCTGTCAGCCTTAGCGTCGTCTACCTGGGATACAGGAACGGTCAACCTGCGGCAAGTGTATCGGGCTATGATTGTGCCGCAGATGTTGTACGGCTGCTCTGCATGGTACGCACCAGGCATCGGCCAAGCAGGCAGAGGGGGCCCCATTATTAGTGCCATCCAGAGGATCCAGCGGCGAGCAGCTCAAACAATAACCGACGCGTTCCGAACAACGGGCAGGTGCCGCGGTTGACGTTGAAGCGCATCTGCTCCCGGTAATCCAGCAGTTGGAACAGACAGCGCTAGAGGCCACGATGCGTCTCAGGACCAGCCCCTTATACGCCGATATGGCTATATCCATGGACGTGGCCCGTGGTAATTCAAAAAGCCCTCTTGATCGCCTCTCAAGCATGCTAGAGCGCAAGTACGACCTAGAGCTAGACCGTCTCGAGAAACGCCTCCCACATGTCGTACCACCATGGTGGACGCCACCAGCGGTCCATATCGCCGAATCAGCAGACGCGGCAATCCAGGAACACGACGCAATAGCACCGGAGACAGTCTGTATCTACACAGACGGGAGTGGCATCAATGGTCATGTTGGAGCGGCTGCAGTTGCCCCGGCGGTGCACAGAAACGGCATCCCAACGAAACGGCTGCAATACATGGGCACATCCGCTACATCAACTGTATACGCCGCAGAGCTGAGGGGTCTGGTCCTTGCATTGGAAATACTTCGGGATATACAAACAGCCAATGCCACTCCCCGCAATAGTGCCATCTTCACCGACAACCAAGCTGCCATCCGAGCGATTCGAGATCCCAAGACTCCGTCCGGACAATACATACTCGTTGAGGCAACCCGCGCGCTCGACCAGCTCCGCAATCTTGGGATACAGGTCAAATTCCGTTGGATCCCGGCGCATGTCGGAGTGCCAGGCAACGAAGCCGCGGATCGAGCCGCTAAGGAAGCGGCAGAGAACCACCTAGGAGAACCAGAACCGGAGACGCTCAAGACCCTCATGGCAACAACAAAATCGATTATCCGCAAGACCATGAAGGTCGAGTGGGAAGCCTCCTGGGAGAAGGCCAAGCACGGCAGAGAGCTGTTCAAGCTTGGGGTCAAACCAGGAAAAGCAACACTTGACCTCCACGCCGGAACACACAGGGCCATCAGCTCGGCCATCACCCAGATGCGCACCGGCAAGATCGGCCTGCGCGCATACCTAGCCAAAATCGACAAAGTTGAAACTGACAAATGCGAATGTGGCTATGGCCCCCAGACCGTGCGGCACGTCCTCCTGGAGTGCCGACACTGGACAGAAGAACGACATAAAATGTGGGCAGGCAAACAACCATGCGTTGACATCAAACGCCTTCTCTGCAGCTCGTCAATGGCAGTCCAAGCAGCAAAAATGATGTTGAGGACGGGGCTGCTCGGACAATTTCGGGCGGTCCCATCCACTGTACTCAAATACACAGCGTAGAAGAGTGAATTTTTGTCATACAGAAGTTGAGGAGGGCCAGGAAAGGCCTGACAGGAGCATAGAAGCAGAACAAGAAGAGAGACAACGATAGAGGAGGGCTAGTGTTCAAGCGGAAGGGAGAGCAACCTCACTGCAGGAATGGCCTGTTTTGACGGACCGGACAATTCCTGCAGGAGAGACCAGCTTCCGGGAAGCAAGAAGCGAACCACCTGTATTTGTAGTTGAACGCTGCATAGCTGCCGATAGGGCGGCTGGGACAGACAATCTAATAAATACACCCCTTCCGAAGTCGGGGTTTTTAGCATGTATTAGCTCTAGAATTACCACGGTTATCCAAGT